TGTGTGTGTGTGTGTCGTATTCCTTTTCTTCTTGCCCCATACTTTAGTGGTCTCTGACATCGGTTTCTTCATTCCGTGACAGCGATATAAGTAGTGTTCGTGATATCGTTAAATTATTACTGCTGGAAACAGTCAAATCCAGTTTCTTTTCTGATACTTTCTACTCAAGTAGCATGTTACGTGTCACATCCTGACAGCGCATAGAAGGAGACCCTTAACAATATCAACATTTTCACTGTTGACTTGATTATGGCTGTTCTATCCTTACTGGGTGATTCCATGGTTAGTGTGTCTGGAGCTGTTCCATGTCATAGTAATGCACAAGAAACAAGTTCATCGTGCCATCTGTAATGACCGAGTCACTAGCTTCGACGGCACTTTCACGGCCTGCTGCACAATATATAGGTTCTTCGTCTCCAATCAATCTACTGCCAATGTCCCTGTTCGATCTTTCAGTGCACAGGGGCCCTCCCAGGGATGGCCGGCTTTAGTGCTGCGATGCTGAATAGCTGTCTTTAGGTAACTCATCAGAGATATTTAATGGCAAGACCACTTTCGAGCAGGTAGCCCCTTGGTTATGCGAGATGGCTGCGGGCGACACAGTTTCTCTCGCTTCCCTAGGTGCTGAAGTCATATACCTGTCACATATAGGTAGACACCTCTCCCTCAGATAAGTAGCGACACGTGTTTTCACATTTGTGACAGGGGGAATCTTGGCCAATAAACTGTCCCAGAAGAGCTGAACCATCAATGACTGCCCATCCGGAACCCTGCTGGAAACCCCCTGTTGCAGAGACCTCTTAAGGACCGACTTGTCTTTGCAAGGCGCATCTTTTTTTCCATAAATTACTGTAGTCCTGGAACATGCTCATGAGACATGACGTCCCTTATGTACTGATTTGGCGGTTATTGTCGTGGTTGTCACCTTCTTCGATACGGTGTTGTAGAACCCGGTGCTTTCCCGAAGTCTACAACATTGTTTCTCCAATGCTTACTGCTCAAGAGCATCGGCGTGTGGTGTAGCAATTCTGCCACTGCTAATGTTCACCATTGCGTCTTTTTGGATGGTCATTGGATCCAATGAATCTACGCCAACATCATCTTTCTGGCGGATTCGTGCTCTACCCTGGGCATCTACTTGAAGACGTTCCTTGCTCTCCTCTTTATAAAAGTTCTAACTACCACATGCAGTGATGTCGCTCTCCATCTCGCCAAGACCTGCTTCAATCTTGCATCACGAACGGAGACTTAAGACCCTGTTTTTTTGAGGGTTGTTCCTATTATGCCCCCACTGCTGTGTCTGTACCCCATGAACGTGGATTCTATGAACTGATCGCTCCAAATCCCATTCCATATACCACGAATATGACGGGTCACAAGCTCACCCTTCGTCAGGTGCATCAAAACATGGGCAGGGACTTTTTTCCACTGAACGGAGGAGAAGAGATCGTGTCTAGCATAATTCACATTTTTGTTTCTTTTTCTTTCTTTCTTTGTGTGTTTCATTCACATTTAGATATCTAGCAAGATTCTACGTTCGGTATGGCGATGTTAATATTCATTATGATGGAAAATGTGGTGGGCGGACCTATCTTCACAATAAGCATTTGCAGAATCAAATCTAGATGTTTTTGGTATAAATAGTTAACAGGATTCCTAGGCTACATAAAACAGCAAAGAAAAAAAACTTTATCTGGCTCCTAGACTAATATATGCGTGTGTATGTGCATACATACATACATACATATATATATATATATTATATATATAACATATATATGTATATATATGTATATGTATATATATACATGTATATACATACACACACACACACACACACACACAACACACACACACACACACATATATATATATATATATATATTATATATATATATATGTGTGTGTGTGTGTGTGTGTGTGTGTGTATGTGTGCGTATATATATATATATATATATATATATATATATATATATATATATGCACATGTGCACGCTCTTAACATAAATAAAATATATATATATGTAAACACCACACACCACACACACACACACACACACACACACACACACACACACATATATATATATATATATATATATATATATATATATATATATATATGTATATATATATATATATATATATACATATATATATATATATATATATATATATATATATATATATATATATATATATATATATATATATATATTGTGTGTGTGTGTATATGTGTGTGTTCACGTATATTTATGCATATATATAATTCTTACGAAAATGACTGCATTATCTGAAGAAAAATACAAACAATATACCTGAAGATACACATTTCAGTATACAGAGATATTCACATACGAAACTGGCACGCCTACTTCGTGATATTCATAAGTATATTTAGTTTAATAAATATCAACTTTGAGATCAGCAAATCCTATTCCATTCCATTCTGACGTGTTATCAATATTTCCTTTTAATTTGTAAATCAACCTTCATCAAACTACTCCAGAAGAAGGAAAATGGCAATCGTTCTAATGATGTCGGCGAATATGCACACTGTCAGAGCAAAAGCTAAGCGACTGGGAATAAGGAAGTGCAAAAGTGACGGCAAAGGCATTGGAACATTTGGACTGGGGATATGGCCGCCGGTCCGAAAGATGAGGATGATTGACTTCCCGGCTTTTCTAGGGGTCACACTAGTCTCTCCTGTCCTGGGAACCTTAGACAGCGTCGCCGAAGTCTGGCCAACTACAGCTTTTGATTCGTCAGCTGACCTGACTTCGGCGACTCTGTCTCGGGATTCCAGGACAGAGAAGAGTAGTGTGACCCGAGCTTTACAGGCAACCATGATATTCATCCAGAAGACTTTGACAGAGAGCGTTGAGCACAGAGTTCCATGGTGGACACCAGACTGCTACAGGGCGTGTGAACGCAATAGGACCTACAGGCTTTTCAAGAATAGCATCAATAACGAGAACTTTGCAATTACACGCTCGTAAGATCTAGGACTTTAGGACAGTAAGACTAGCTAGAATATACTCTAGCTTGATATATATATATATATATATATATATATATATATATATATATATTTATATATATCATCTATGAGACATCGCTAATGCATTTGCCAAGAAGTGGCTTAGCTGCAACCTATACACGTTGTCACAGGAGATGGCTTAGATGACAACCAAGTTCTAACATTGAAAGAACTTGTCCGAAACCTTGAATCCCGCAAAGGAAAATCCCCAGGCCTCGATGGGATCTGATATAAGATAAAGTATCCTAATCATGACGCCATGATTAAGTTACTAGAAGTATACAATGGAATTTGGGCAAAAACATGGCATTTAGTCCTCATAATCCCAAGTTGAAGGAGGGAGAAATCCCAGATGAGCCATCTCCTAACGCCAAATTGCCTTGACAAGTTGCTTAGGTAAAGTCATGGACGAATTACTAACAGTAGACCATAACATTTTTTTTTAAATTCCAGAAATTGAATAACTGGTGAGCAGTGCGGCTTCCGAAGGGGACGCTAAACTCATCAGCTAGTAAAACTGAAAATCATATTCAAGTGGCATTTGCCCAAAAACATGGTTTGATTTCAGTATTTTTTGATAAAGAAAAGGTCTACGTGGCTTGGTGAAATGGCCAACTCAGAAAACTTTTGGATTACGTGAAAACATGTCCTGTTTTATTCGACATTTCATAACTGAAAGGACATTTGCTCTCAAGTCATTCTCTGACCATTGTCACTTTTTCGGATATTCTTGTCCAGGCAAAAACATCCGAAATCGTGTTTGGTTCAGCATCGAACTCCAATTTGAAGGCTTGGGTGTTGTTCAGAAGGATTGTTTACGCGTCTTGGAGTCCTCAAATGCTCTCGGAGGTCAGGAGCACCTCCCCTCCGACTCAGACGCGGCCAGAGAGCGCTGACCTATGCCGCAAAGGTGCCTCGAAACGTGAGCCATCCTACTGGAATCGTGGCATTAGCCCCTGTGCCACACGATCTCGTCGAGAAAGTCGCATAAACCTCCTCAATACCCCGATTCAGTCAAATCTAACATCATGGGAAACACCCCATTTCACCATCATGGAAGCATGGCTCCCATCTGCTGAAACCATGGCGTCGGAGGTGGAGGTGTGCCAGAGGTTCACAGATAGGTATTAAACACATTCATTTTTCTTACATGTACACGACGGCTCTAAGACAGATGAATGTGTGGGAGCAGGTGTATGGTCGACTGAGTGAACTAAATTTCAGACTGCCGAATCATCATGCATCGATCTTTCTTGATGAACTTTTTGCTAAATATACCTTTAATATTTGGCACTATCGATTACCCATAGAATAGTATTTCTTTCCGATGCATTAAGTACATTTAAAACCATTAGATAATTAAAAACAACAAAAGATGAATACTGGGTAATATGAACCTTAGTCTAAAGATCTCAGGTTTTCGTTTCCTTTATAAAAGGAATAATAAATCTATGGAAAATGAGTTAAATACCTGAATAACCATAGACACAAAATCTCAACAGAACAGAGACATAGCTCAAAGGAATACACAGAAGAGAGATGATGTAGGGCGGACTCAGGGTCAGCGCCACATGACTTATACACCTCACTGCCTTGGGGAGAGATTTCCCACGCGATGCCCCCAATGTACACTCAACAGCAAGTCTTAAACATGTCTTAAACTCAACAACAGACAGCAACAAAAAAATACATCAGATTAAAAAAAGATTAATACCATATCAAATATATTCGCAGATGAAAGAATCAATTAGGAAAGTAAATATTTTCCTGAAGGAGACAAAATTTTATGACCTCATGAAACAATGAAAAGTATCCATTGGCTTAATAACTTCGGCCATTAAGGCGCTGGGTGATGGCGAAGATCTCCAACAAAAAAAGGAAGGATATTTTAGTAATTTCTGCCATCTAACACTCACCGAAAATTCGAGCCAGTCATGCAAGGTAAGAGCACAAGCATAACTTAAAGTTTAGTGTTGAGGCGAGTGCTAACTGTCATGAAGAACGCAAGCAATTTGCTTATAGCGACAGATCTTCCAGAGGCAATGATTTTCTGTAGTCATTTGGCCATTACATGCATTCTTGGACGAGAATAACAACAGTGAACATATTCTCTCCCTTTTTACTGGGAGACGAACTTAAATATTTTACGTCTGGAATCCAGAGGATTTTCCATAAGCGTATAACCACGAACATGTTGAGAGAGACGTAAATTTACCACATT